GATATTTCGTACAGCATATCACCCTATTTTCTCTAAATACTCTGTTTTCGAGCGGTATTAATTTTTAAAACAATCGTACAACATTGCTAATGTCGGGAAATCTTTAGAAAATGCTTCAGTATGCTCAGAACTATTCGAAAAATATTTTAAATAAACCGGAACTCTGAGATTTCGGAAAATTAGCAGATAATTTTTTCAATGGACTTTTTTTGGCAAAATCAACAAAACTATTATTAAAAAGTATCGAGAACTATAGAACTCGACTGCATGCGACAAGAACTCTTTTTTATTTTTGATTTGCTAGAAAATGATCTGCTACGGGAAGTTAGCAGATCATTTTTTCGATCGACTGTTTTTTGGGTAAAATCACCAGAACTATTACTAAAAAGTATCAGGAACTATAGAACTCGACTGCATGCGACAAGAACTGCCTTTTATTTTTGATCTGCTGGAAAATGATATGCCAACTTCACAGACACATTTCGATAAAAGTCTGGTAATTTTCCTTTTGATACTTTTTGAGATGGTTCTTCAGATTTTGGTGGTACATACATAATAAAATGCCTGTCACTTATTTGGAAACAAGTTCCTGATTTTTTGTGATAAAATGTCAAAATTGGCATTTAACAAACAAACTCTACAAGCATTAGAACGCATTTATGAAATACATTATTAATTTAAATATGACATAATGTCAGGATTGCGAGTGGGATGAATTAATTTGCGGCGTGATATATGTAAAAATAGACAATACTTTATTGTAGCGTTATTACAGTGCTCGAATGCGAAGTACTCATACGCGACTGACTTATACTTTCGTATACGTGACATCGCAGCATCACGTCGCTATCACGTGCTTTTAGTACATATGAGTACGCAAGAGAGAACACTAAATGTATCGATTTATATCGATCTATCCTAACACATAAAAATACGTTCTATTAACATTTAACCATTACATTTCTCTCCCGTTTTCAGATTTTTGAAACATAAATTGAATAACAAGAAGTTCAACCAATTTTCTACGTTTGACTTCATCGAGTACGTTATGCTTCTCATAAAATTTTATAATAATTTGTCCATCTGTAAAGTTTAGTAACAGTTCTTTCAAATCCTATTAAAAATAATAAAATAATTAGTAAAGTATTTATAAAATTAATAAAAAATTTATAAAATTTTGCATGAAAACTTTACCGTATTTTGAAGTGATGTAAATTGACTTAAAGTGCATGAAATTTTATTTAACTTATTCTGATTGTTACTACTTTTCTTCGATTTTTTTTAATATTGTCACATTCTCTTAATGCAGAACTCTCTCTTATATTATCTTCTTCGGTACTTAATATATTAGATATATTATCTGATGAATCGTTTAATACATTCCCACTGCTATGACAATTTTCGTAATGATGATTATCAATTAATGTTTCATCGTTTAGACGATTTTTTTGTGTATACGATGTCTATCAAAACAAAACAAAAGCATTGTTGAATATATTTCTTTCGACCATATTTTATATTAATTGTATATCTCAATTTTATATTTTATTCTTTGATTCAAATTAAGAAAAAGAGTATTTTATTTTGTATACCAAAGCTTGAGCATCATCATTGCAAGATGATTTTAAAAACCCTATTTCTTTTTGCTTAAAATTTGATCCTTTACACTCTCTTTCTTTACGGATAAGAGACTTTGTTTTCACTGCAAGGGGTTTGATAATTGCTAATTTTGACATTGTAACTTTTTCAATTAATTATCATTATCGTTGTCTGATATTTCATGTAATTTTTCCTGTAAAGATAGCAAGATATTAATTTTTGTAAACACATTTTAAATATTTTATTCTTTAATTCAAATTTTCAAGAAAAGGAGTATATTTTATATACCGAAGCTTGTGCATCACATCATTGCAAGATGATTTAAAAAATCTTACTTTTTTTTGCTTAAAATTTGATTCTTCACACTCTCTTTCTTTACGGATAAGAGATTTTGATTTCACTGCAAGGGGTTTTAATAATTGCTGATTTTGACATTGTAACTTTTCCAATTGATTATCATTATCGTTGTCTGATATTTCATGCAATTTTTCTTATGAAGATAGCAAGATATTAATTTTTGTAAACACATTTTAAAATAACTATTTTTTACTGTTTATTAAAATCCTAAAAATTATAAAAACTTTTGTCTTACGAATTTAATACTGCCTATAAATAATCTCCTTTTCTCAAGAAAACAGCGAATCCCTCCAATCGTAGATATTATTCGTAACACCTCGGTCTCGCTTATATTCAGAAACGCCTCTTTATCAATATCTTCTTCTAAGGATCATAAAATATAAATTATAAACATAAAAAAATAAAGAAAGTAATATTGTTTGATGATTCAACTTTAATCTAACCTTGATTATTTTTATTTATAATTATTTAAATCGTATCGGTCATACAACAAATGCAAAACCGCGTTCAAAATTAATGAAATATGTTAAATTATTTATTATACTGAAATGGGCACTTCTTTCCCTGTCGTTGATCAAAATTGTGAGAATATATGATAGGAGAATTGCAACGAAAATATCCTTGTCTAACCAATAATGCCACAGTCCATATTATTGCATCAATATTGACTGGATAAGAACTCATGCATACAATGACAGGAATAAGAAATAAGAAATTAAATAAACAAAACAAGAAATAAGAAATTAAACATAGAGGGAATTCATAGTCGCATCCTTTTTCAAGACCGTGAAAAAAGATGCAACTATAAATTCTCTCTATGTTTAATTCCTTGTTCCTTATTCCTCTCGTTGTGCATAAGCCCTACTGACGGTTTGATTGTAATTCTATTATTTCACAGTCACAGAAAGTCTTAGTCCCGGCATAGACTAGAGTGCGTATTCTAATATATGTATAGTAAATAATTTAATAACGAAATTGACATGTTAAGTACCAACTATAGTATGGCTGTTTAGAGCAAGATATCGATATGCTTATTATTGCCATAATACATCGATAAAACCAAATATAACCATAATATATATTGTTTGGTACTCGCGTGTAAATAGTTACTTGTAAATAGTTGTTAGTT